AGTTGATATTAGTTACATTACATCTAGAAAAACCGTGGGCTTTGAACCTCGCACACCAGCACTGTCAGACGCTTGTAGTAATCTTTTCACTGATGATGACGTGGATTTTGGAATCTAGGATTTTCTACCGAACATTCATTCTAACCCTGAGTTTAATATCGAAATTTTTAATACGGACTGCATTTAATGAAAATATATGTATCGCTCTCTCCATTGCTCGCTGTGTGTCAGCCGTCTTATAGGACCAGTAGTTAACAACTTTTCATCACTGTTAACACACACAGATCAAGACTTTATGTTTTGAGGCACAGAATTATTGGGTGCGTGCGAAGATCTTACGTTATTTTCCGAACGCTTCCCTTTTGAGCTGGATTCTACGAGTATTTTTCGAAGCACGATGTATGTAATTAGACTGTGTCCCAGGTATACATAGCGATCAACAACTTCGAATGTAGAGTTCCCAATTTTAACTGACAGGAGCGAGTACTGTATGGACTATTGACATGATTTTTGTCTTATCCACGTCAGTCTCGAGACACACTCCTTGGGAAACGCAAGTAAGATCTTCGCGCATTGTGCTCAGATCGATTATCGGCGAAACAAAGTGTGTAAGGTACTCGCCATAAATGTTGATTGTTCATGCCTCGTCCTTTCCACTCCCGAAGCTTGAAAATATCCTCCAAAGAAGCTGTATAAGCAATTGTTTCATGCCTAAATCATTGTGATTGTTGTATAAGACGCAAGTGTACTCCTCTATGGAATAGTGTCGTCACAACTTTAAGATGGCTGCGCCAAGTACTTACTTGAGGCTTTAGATAGGTTACAGCGGCGCGCGACCCGCATTATTGGCGATGTGGAGGTGACTAAACCAAGTATCTACAATTACAGAGTCCTGAGGAGTTTTTCTCTCTTATCCCACTTTCCCCTTTCATTGAGACAATCACGCGCGCTGACCTTCGTTGGCACCAGCTTATTGTGCCCACTAACTCAACGTGAAAAATGAGATTTGGTGACTAATTTTTCGTCGCACTATCCGCAAATGTCCGCAATTGGCTCCCTTCTACAACCCGGAAACCTTTAAAAGAGGCGTGAAGCCCGCAAGGTGAGGATGGCCGGTAAAACTGCTGCAGCTATCTTCGCGTCTAGATTCCACCTTCACTAACTCCACCTATCAGAAGGGTAAAAGTATTTGCCGGACCTTTTTTATTACTGTTATTGCTTTGGTAAAAATACAAGGGTTATATTATTCTCGAATCGGTAACTATAACTGTCAATTGTAAAACTTGAGTTTTAAACACAAATGTTGAGTACAAATAACTCTAATTACTTGTGAAATTAAATTCTGTATCAGAAATATCGAAATTGGCAGATAGGTACAACATTGCGATCCGACAGACGTTTTAGAGGACGATATCGGATTATCGAATTAGAAAGAAAGAATGAAGAAAGAAAAGCTTTTATTAGAGTACTGTCTAAGACCACCCTCTAGAGCCTAAAAGTCTTATGAATAAGAGTAATTTGCTTGTAATCCGACATGTTACAAATAAAAGAATCTGATTGAATCTATTTTTATGTAAAATCAACGGCGTCGAAAATCGTATGATTGCCGGATTACACCTGATTAGACCGAGTACGGATTCCCCCGGCTATACTGTAATAATATGTATTCGAAGTCTATAGAACAACCGACTTTTACGGAGAGCAAATTTTACTGATACGAGACGACAGCAAAAGATACGGTACCTACAAACGGTATGCTCAAATCTAACTTCGACTTTAGCGGGCAAAATGCCCATCAATACATAATTGTGAAGATGTGGGAATGGATACCAGGTAGTTGAGTTTGCTTAGCGCCTTATAAATGGCCTATTGTGTTGAGACGGCGCCTAAAATCGGTCACTTTTTATAAACACTTCGCAAAACAAAAAAATAGACATCTGCTCAATTTAGATATGTTGGATACCATTTCTAATTGATGAATGGTTTCCAGCTAAACCATTCGTTGGTTGTAGATTATTTTAGATTCTGTGTAAGGTTTTACAAGAATTTAGTTAAGTATAAAAATCTGAATTGTATGTATGTAAGTTCGAAAGCCACTGAGTAGTAATATTTGTTGGTATAATGTAGTATAGTGTGCCCCTGCAGTGGGGACATTGATACGTTAATGATGATAGATTTATCATAGAATATCAAGAACAACTAAAAGAAAACGGGTATGCCAGTTGTAGGATTTAGTTACTGAATTTATCTACAGTACTCAATATTCTTTTATAGAAGAATATTGATAGTTATTGAAGATGGCTTGATTGCGTACTACACCTACTTGTTGTACATACGTGGGCACCAGCCCACAAAGCAGCCCACTGTCATATTTGTCGTTCACTTTTATCCTCCTACTTGTCACCTCAGAATTAGAAAATATAGCCTTCGAAATCGGAAATTCAAAGTGTTTTATCCACTCACCTTATACGATACGCAGTGTCTGCCAACGTCGGCTTTCCCAATGGCTGGGCCTCCTTAAGTAAAATTTACTTCAGTGACCTGGATGGAGGGACTGCGTTGAACGCGTAATCCATACAATATTGTATGTTAGCACAAAATGTCAATTGTCAGACAGCTTCGCACAAACATCCGGCACGGTTTAAATTTCGAAACGTCAAATATTTTAAACAGAAAATTATGCGCTCGCGTGTTAGCGCGTTGATCAACGGCGCGACTGAGCGTGAGCGGCGGACGGAGGCGGCACGCGCCCGTGAGGTTTCATTCACAAATCGAGTGGCGGGGCAATGCGGGGCGCCGATGGGCTCGGCCGGCTCATTCATGCTTGCGTCGTCCGAGCTGGTGACCTACGGCCTGCGCTTCTAGAATACCATAATCAGATACACAACCGTATAGAATGACCGCCACTACGCCGCCGACTGCGCGCTACCAAGAAACTCCGAATTGCCCATACCAAATCCTAGCAACCTCATTTCGCCTCGATTAACATGCAACGCAACAAAGGGTAACGAGTTCGTTTCCTGTCCATTCCATTACTACTATAAGATCCAAACTTTGCAAACAAGAACACAGTGATTGAAGAATTAATAATGAACGTTTAACAAATTGCAAGATTCAGTTTTATTTAACTGACACGAAGACATTTGCAAGAATATAGACGTATTTTTGCGTCATTTATGAATCAAGACTGAAATATATAAAGCGTGCTAACAATGAACAAAATACAGCAGATTTGTATTTCACTTTGCTTTCACATCAAAAACAGGTATATAAATTCTCTTGATGAGAAGACAGGTTTGATTACAAGCTTACAATTTGTAAATCAGATTCACTTCCTCAATGAACTAACAATAAAATTACAAACAGCTGAACCTGTTATTAATTTACGACTAATGATTAAAGTTCACCAATAGTTATAACACAACATCATGAATATAAACGCAGGAAAAATACAAAAACCGGTGTTGGCGAAATGCTTTGAACGTTTAACTGCAGTGCAGTGCACCAGGGCCAGAACGGCTACTTATGTAATACGCTTTCAAACACGCCACGTGCCCTGCGTTGCCTCACCTCACCATATATTTATTTGTGAAGGTGGAAAATCCACACAATATAAGAAAGCTATGATCTCAGAACACACAGTAATCGATGCCATTTGGGATAACTATTGTGAAGTTTAGTTTACACAATTGAAACGATTGAAGAGAAGACTGAGATATCAATGAGCAGCGAAATTCTGAGCTGATTGCGTGGGAACTGGTTAGGTTAGTTAGTTAGGCTTACATTTAATTAATTGAGGGGCGTGTAGGAGGACTGCATTTTTGAAGTAATAAGCATTTAATTATTATAACACAGCTGTCAATAAATGTGCGGTGTTGTCATATTAAATAGCTTGAACCCGAAGTTTTAATTTCAAATCGGCCAATTATCGAAATACTAAAATTGCGTATCTCTCGTAATGATCCTAGATATTATCAACTGTAGGTCGAGCGAGTCTCATACAATGGATAATTAAATATTTAGTTGGACCGTAACATGCGGGTTGCGGCATATCTCACCATGTTCTACAGAACGATTCAGTTATCCCACTTGAAATAGTAAGTGGTAATAGAAAAATTGTCTTATTTTAAGACATAACTCTAGATAAGGAGAAAATACTCGATTGTCATTCAATTATATTACAGCTAAAGTATTCTCGTCTCTATTTAAGTTGCTGATGACTCGGGCAATAGAGTCATCATCGGTTCAGTAAAACTAATCTAAACTTCCCAGTCTCACTACGTAGTTTTCCATAAAATTGGGAATACCGTATAGCTTGTCCACAGGGCTTATCATAAGTACAGTTTTAGTTCTCAGTAGACTGAGCAAAAGTTGTAAAGATCCAGTCAGGTTTTCTAACTGAGAAAACACTTCCTTATATCAAATTAATGCAATAAGTAGCTCAGCAGCGGTGCTGAACTACAGTTATGTGGCTGCATCTGGTATGGTACGCTACGGCCGGAGGTATCAGTTTATGGACAAAAAACTTAGCGACAACGGGTCACGTGCTATAAATCTATGGAATGGTAAATTATAGACGTATTTGCATTTTTATTTTTTAATCTTCAGAAACTTTGAATGAGATAGACAACCCTACATTGTGTACTGTAAATAACACGAACGACGATTATATTATTGCGTAGTAAATTTTTATTGCGCAGTTGATGTTTATTTGCATGTTTCTCGCTTAACAAACACCCGACCCGCGTCCAAGATTTTGGGCACTAGCGAATTTACTAATTCTCAAATCTCAGGAAGGCAGCTTAAAAATGTAAAATTGGAATGTTTCGGTTCATAACATTTTAAGGAACTTAGTGATAGACTGTATAGATACTGTTCTAACGGAAAATCAAATTCCGTTATAAATAAATGACATAACATAAAAGGAGTGACTGTAGGTATATTTTTTTAACATACCTTTTTTTTTATTTGTGTCTGGAAAATACATACATTTAACATACCTGCGAGACATAATGCGATGTAATCCTTCGCAGTTGTAAACTCCCGTGGCAAACTCCATTTCACAGTGAACTCTCTTCTGTTTAAAGTCCAATTAAGTTTGGCATGTTTGCTATCATTGGCACTATATTCCGATTCTTTTTCATCGATATTACTACTGACAATCTCTTTGTTATTTATAGCACTATCATCACTTGTAATGGCACTTGATGGTCTTTCTTCGTCCACGCCATCACACGCCGCAACCTCCTCGGTATCGTTACTCGCACCTTTTTGTACGTCTTTATCAATTTTTTCACTTTCGGTATAATCAGAGCCATGATCTTCTGACATGACTGTCAATCTTCCTTTTAATTACACATAGTTCTAGTAAGTATATTAGTTTTGGGTTATCGCATAGGTATAATAATACGCCTGCTCAAAATTTCTTAGCAATTGTTATTGAATGCAATTAGCACAGTGTAATAGCGTATGTTGATACAGAGGCGCGTGGAGAGACTAGTGCCAACAGCCCAGCGACGGAGGGGCGGAGCACCGACGACGCCGCGGCGACCGACGTCGCGACGCCAGCCCGGCCGGCGCCACCACCGTCTGACGCCGCTAATGCACCCTATTCACGTATCTACTAACATCTAATCAAGTTATTCTATACCACATGTGACAAAAAAATGATGCTTCTTATATCATTTGCTCTTCATAAGTAATATAATATAATGCTTGCAGCTGGCATGTAAATATGTATGGAACTAAAAAGGAAAATTCGAATTTGCTTTTTTGTATAGTCTTATAAAAGTATGAATTATATGGAAATACTTCAAACTAAATGCACATAAGAGTTGATACTTAGTTGATTGTTAACTGTTATGTGGTGATATTGCCATCAGTAAAATTATGTATTTTATTTTTCTTGAATAGATATAGGTAGGTAATATAACAATATTTGAGTGACACAAATACGCATATTTTTTTAAACATACATGGCATCAAACATCAATATAATAAAAAATATTTAAGTATTCACTGAACCAAAAATTCAAGTAGATACATATTAAATATTAGTTTAAATGTGCACAAAAACATCATTATTTTTATATAATATTTTGCTTGGCACTTTTATCTCATAATGTGAAACACTTTATTTTTCAACTTGGCTATTTATTTACTACATTCAAAAGTTTAGGGTTCATCAACTTTGTCTCACTAGGCCTTCTAGCATGAGGACTGCAATATGATATAATAGTTGTTTTTATCACACTCAATTTTCAAATTAATATGGAGTTTGACAGTTAGATGTGATGAAAACATGAAAAAATGTAAATTGCGATGCTCATGCTACAGGGACTTGCTCATTATAATCATGACACATTTAATACTCTAGCGGGTGCTTAGTACTTAATTGCCTATATTATCTGTCCTTTACTATAAAATAGGAAGTGTGGCTGTGAAATATAATTGATGATAAAATTTAAAAACAACTGACCGCCCATTATAGCAATTTTTGTTACAGTAAAAATTCAAATCCGAATTAGATAATTCCAATTCAATTTGCTATTACTTTAAGTGAATGAATGTGCAGAAGACAAGGGCTTCTTGTCTTAATATATTTTATGTTAAAATCCATATAAAAGCAATATGTGTTTTCTATTCCTCTTATTCACATTCTGATTAATCTACAATAAAATATCCAATCTCGATAATATTTAGTGCACTTTTTATCAATTAAATGTTTCTCACTACTGTTTTTGGAAAATTACATAAGAAAAATAGTAATCCAATGAATAAGACTATGGGAAAGTCAATTTACCACCTTCACTTTGCTATCTCACCTTTGAAGCTCTATCATCTACCTATGTGCGTGCAGATGCAGATTATGGATGTATACCGCCTGATGTATTCTGAACCATTCGGACAAGAAAGACTACCTACACAGGTACTTATTTACAAATTAATAGTTATTATTCTATTACACCAGTAGGTATTCATTTTTTTAACTCCCGACGTAAAATCACTGTTATCATGTTACTTATTGAAGAAAATAACATTTTTACTTATTAAGCTCACAGTACGATAAAGTACACTTTTAGTTTTAATTCATTTCTAAGCTTTTATGAAAGAAATCGATAATTTTCTCAAACTGTGCTACAATAACAATTGAAAATTTTGAGCAAAGTGCGTAACTATATAGTTTAAAGAACGAATCGACGTTACCAACACATTTCACAACATAATTCAATTCAAATGAAAGTCATTAGCCACAATACGATGCGATATTTAATACTTTTTCTGCAAAAATCTTTCATAAACTTATGTCAGCGGACCGGACGCAGGGCAGAATGCGCCACCTGTGACATTGACAGTGACAGTTAGGCTTGTTGTAAATATATCGATGTATCGATATATCGATATTTTTTGTTCGATATATCAATATTTTTTGCCGATATATTTTGATTCGATATATCGATACATCGATACAAAATAACCAATATCGAAATTCGTATCAAAAACGATATTTTTTTAATTATTAGCGGCATATCACGATCTAACTAAATTCGTATCTGGAAAAATCGTAACTGGATCTCAGATTGATATTCAACATATCTATGATCTGTGCTGTATTTAGTACTGTCTATGTCATCGTTCGAAAATAAGGTCTATTTTTAGGGAGATAATTTTCGTTCCATTATTTTTCCGCGTGTCATATTTCGTGAGCTACTGTACGATATTTTTGGGAAAATTGGTCCGATATATCGATATACCGATGTTTTTTTCGCGATATATCGAAGCCGATATTGATATTTTTTAAAATATCGATATATCGATATTTTTTCCAACTTTCGACATCCCTAGTGACAGTCACAAAAGACAATGACATGACATTAAGGCGTTCGTTTAGAAATAAGTTCAACTCCTCTCTACAGAAATATTACATCCGTGATCAATATAATACTATTTTTGAACATGTGTCAATGAAATGCCAAATTGAAGTAACTGATAAAGTTTTGTTGTCATCATGTCATACTGATTATAATTTTTATAATAAATTTACCCAAGTCACATAATTCATGGCAACAATATCCACACGGTCGAAATCGCCTACTCGGGCTGAGGCTATTGCTATAGCTTTAAGACCAGGCCCAGTATTCAACACTGGTGTACTGTTAGGCAAGTTGGTTTCATGATGGTTAATATTGATATAAATATTAATATTATTGATTAACAAGCCTAATAAGGCACCACCCCTGAAGAAAAGCTATTCCGTCACATAATACGGAAAAAGACTCGCGAAGAACTAAACCTAACCGCAAATGCTCTCTGACCCCTATGGAGCATGGAGCTCTAATATCCTTACTCGTAATGTAAATGTGTACCTTCTTACTGTGAGAACCATGAAAACACTAATCATATTCTCAGTGGCTGCCGTAACCTGGCTCTTGTTCGGCCTTTGCTGCCGATTATATTTTTCAACCGCCTTCCAGGCTACGCTGTTGCATATTCTATCATTCGTGATGTAGGTACCTACACTTTCCTAGACAGGCGCTTTTAGGAAGGTTATCTATTCTGCATATCTCTTGGTAAAGTATAATTACGTGTCAGGATGGGGTTCGAAATTGCCAATGCCAGTTAATGCTTAACAGTTATTTATTCAACACGGTTCTTTAATACACTCACTAACTATACACTACTTGTACTATACAGGTCCTTGTACAATCGCACACAAACTCTTTACTTGCACTTTAATCCTCTTAGTAATTGTCGTGTAATCGCGATAGGCTGCAAAAGGTGTATCGTCCCTGCTGATGCCCTACCTGCTATTACAGCTACCTTATCTTAAATACATGTCTGGCTACCTTACGGCTCTGACCCTGTCTCCCACTCCTAGTGCGCGGAGACGAGGGCATTTATATGCGCAAATTAGAGTCATTCGAGAGAGCCAGTTTAATTGAGAGTTCCTTAGTACTACCGGCGAACACTTGCATAGCAGGTGGCACGTACGAGTTATAAACAAGTTGGCAGCTGTCATTGCACTTTTAGCCTTACACCGTACTGCTAAGGCCCATATTCGAGTGAACGCAACACTCGACTTTCGTATTTTAGATACTTTGGGTCGTGAGTACATCAAGCAACGCCGAAGGCCACGACGTTCTGGATACATTTGTTTTCAGATTGTTCATTTTTATTGACCTTTTTTGTCGCCTTACACTGACAAAGGAGTGAATGAGCTGAAAATTGCTGGGCGGAATAGAGTACCTAAATCGCGGAGATAAATAAAAATATCTGAACTTTAGCAAGACGTATTGCCCTTGTGAGACTTTTGTAAGCAAATGATAAGATATTATTTTAATAAAATCGCAGGTAACTGGGTTGAAGACCGAATTGAATGTCCGAGAGGTGGTACTCTATATTTTCCTCCGAAAGAAGATATAGACTATGAAAAATTGAAACCAGAATCCAGACAACCAGATTTTCGCCTGAATAAACTAAATAGCTTACAGGTGATATTGACAATTTTTTTTATTTCACAATCTTTGCTATAGGTCTTAGATTAAAACAAAGTTTTAATGTAAATTCTAAGCTATATATCTATGTAGATACTCTTAAAAATAACCGCGACTATCTAAAATAATTATTTCCCTAATGATTCTGCTAGGCGTTATTTCCTGCCAAACATTTAAAAATTAGTTAAATCGTTAGGTTGGTATAAAATTATGATCATCAATCATCAAATAATTATCCTTATTTCCTTCGATGCACCAATTCTTTACCAATTTCATCCATCTTTTTCTTGAATACTTATCTAATACTGCAGCATGTTCTTACGGCAAAAAAAAAAGAAAGTTGAGAAACATAAAAAAATACATCTCCACCCGATAGGTGACGCTGCAGTCAGCCTTTGGGATTTTTTATATTCTTAACGGCCATGACTACGTCTGTTTCCTCGTCTATCGCTAGTGTCCCAATAAAATTTAACACAAAAGCTTTTATCATAAATATTTCTTAAACAAACAATCGATACGACGGGAAAGCTTTTGGCCCCACAAACATTTGCTCCGTCGGAATTCGAACCCAGAAGCTCCGTCTGAATCCTTACAAACCAGTGATTACAATATACAGAATTAAATAAGATAAAATTGCTTTGCTATAACCAAGTTTATTGCTCCCCAGGGAAATGTATTTTCGACTATTAGGCATGACAGCCACGACGACTGCGGCAACTTCGTGTCTACGAACGATCTAGTGTACAACCATCTACCTAAGCCGCTTTGCGGACCAATACAACGCTATTACAAGAGGAGCGCTCACCAATTTTATCCACAACCCGATCTTATGAAATGTTTTGTATGTTATTGTTTCTAATTAAACCTAATGGTTCATGATACTTTCTAAAGAGCTCGACAACGTAAGTAGTTAGCGCGTTCGTTGAAGTTAAACAACTTTCGCAGTAGTCGGTCATTGGATGGGTGACCAAAAATTTACCATCTCGAGCTCCTCGGTGCTTCGGATGATACATTAAGCCGTTGGATCCGGCTGCATCATGCAATCATTAGCACCCACCAAGCCACAATACTCACTAGCCCACGTGGTGGGTCATGGCCCAGTCTCCGTAATGCATCCATAGGGAAGGCCTGTGCCCCAGCAGTGGGGACATTAATAGGCAGCGATTATGATGAAGTCCAAAGCACTTAGTTGTTTCAGGGTAATTTAACCGAGTGGGGACTGAGGAAACATAAACATTACGAGTGGGCTTGTACAGATGTTTCAGACTATACGTCTACTCTGTACGAAGACACGTTCGTGCCTCCACAACCTCAACAATATCTCCAACGATGCGAGCGAAGGGCTCGAAATACGTAAGTGGTTTCTCATTGACTAGTTAAACTTTACTATCACATTATCACATTGTATGAAAGCGAGCACTAGGCAGTGCTCGTGCCTCCTCTACACGTCGACAGATGCATCTGCAGTTAGTTCCTTATAATATCCGCTATAAAAGTCCTGCGAATACCTTCTACACTGCTTTATTGCGAAGCCGCGGGGTCCCCGTTTAGGGATTCTTCCGCGACTCAGCAGCAGCGCAGCAGCTTCCCGGCCTCGCCGGGGCTCCACGGCAGGGGTCTCCCGAGGTATTACGGGGACCCCGCAGACGTGCGAAGGATGGCCTACAACATTAATTACCTACGATTTCAACATTAATTTTGTGTGCGTACGAGTTGCGTCTGTCGAGAATGAACACAGACTGAATGACCTACAGACGCCGTCAGATGTGTGTTCGGCTCGAGGTGATCCATCTGCTGATGCATCTAACGACTTTTGCGGACGCATCTGTCGTCTGTCGACGTGTGGAGGCGACATTAAGCGGAAGCAGGGACGCGGACATCCACTCCGCGTGTTTGTTTAATGTTATTTCATTGAGCAGCGATGCGTGAGGCGGGTCTCACGTCGCGTGCTCTCGCTTAAGACAGCGCAGGCCCTATACTATACTGAATAACTGGAGCTAAGAAGAGAAATCATTTTTATTTACTTAACACAGCACTGTGTTGGTAGGTTGGGATATAAAAAACACAATTTAAACATATTTTCTTATTTTAATTGCAGGAGCTTCACAAAAAGTTTCCGATTTAAAATGACAAAATCGAAATAATGATAAACATCAAGAATCATCTTTTCTTCACTTTTTGCAAAATTACTAGTCTTTACAATATCACATTTTGTTCGAGAGAAGGACAGTGACGTCCATATAAAATTGTAACAATACAATAATTCTTAATGCTTTCATATAGCCATCACCTGGCACCAACACGAGATCAGCAAAATATTCTTAACTCTACTTTTAGTCTCAAACATTATGACTACTAACCACTTACAACTATGTGATATAACTTAACAAGATTTGTTTCCTAATATAGAATTGGCAGTTCATTGGAACATAAAGAAAAATGTATATCAAAGAATAAAAGGCAAACATTTATAAGAGTTAAAGAAATTCATAGCAATATCATACAACCAAATTGTTGTTAACATTACTGAGGAAATGAATTCACTTGAGGCAATTTGATCAGTCCAGACCCACCTGGGGTTTTAAAAGTATTATTTGGTACATAAATTTGTTGCTGTGGAAATATTTTTGTTGAGACCATGTTCATGTTATGTTGAGCAAGACGAGGCTGAGGTATATGAACATGACTATTATACTGCATCTGGGGAAATACCGGTGAACTAACGCGAGAGAAATTCAACGGAGTTTGATAATTGCTGAAACTGGTTGGGTTGTTGCAACGTAAGTTGTCAACCGCCATGGGCTCCCCACAGACAGACTCCTCGCGAGAAGGAGGTTGCGAAAATATATTTCGCTGATTCAAACTAGAAGCCTGAGACTCAAACCCTGAACTTTGACTTGAGGAACGACTACCGTCAATGTTGAACATTGGACGCTCTCCCTCAGAACCCCAGTAGCCACCTGCAACCCAAGATGTACTGTGACCTAATTTACTAGGTGATATCAATGGTCTAGTACGATTCAGTGGTGTTGGAGCTACAAAACAAGGAGTGGCGTTAAATTTTCTTAAAGAGAACATCGGATTACCATGCTTGTTTTTCTTTGGACTACCTATACATAAAGTACTAATACTCTCATCCAAATCTGAATCAGAATCGTCTTTAGTAAGTTTTTGATACTTATTAAAAGACGGCTTTATAAATACATTATCTGATATGGAACTTGGACTGTTGCAAGTTACAGAGTTTACACAGAATGTCGAATTAAGTTTCGGTTTACTCCACAAACTATCACTACGTGGTGTGAACGATCTACCATTCTGAAGATTTTGTGGGCTAATTGTCTCATGTGACGAGTCAGTAAAATTATGTAATCCGAATTTACTAAGAGATACGTCATCATCAGTATCCAAAGATAAATTGTCTTCTTCGTCAATTAATGATGTTAATGTTCCATTATTAAAATTTTTCATTCTCATTGAAGTCATTACCTTTTTAGGAACTCTGTTACTGTTTTTCATTTTCATATACACAAATAACACAGATAAAGTACTTGTCAACTGAAACAAAAAATAAGTTCATTAATATTTCTCTTTAAAAATTGTTTTATTTAAAATGTCTGTTAAAAATAAGGTTAAAATGAATCTTACCTTAATTAAACTCACATATAATGGATCCAAAGATTGAGGGTGGTGCAGTATTGATGTGATAACAAATACAGACCACAGTAAGTCTATTACGATTGTATACTTCAATTTATTAATATTCCAAATATGTCCTATTATCTGTATTAAACAGACAAAACCACCTAAGGCTTTCTGAGTCAATGTGAAATATCCTTCTGCATCAGCTAAGGAATGCAGTTCTGACACCTTCCCCATCAAATGCAGTTCATTGAAATAGTGTAAATATTTTTCTATTGATGGGAATGTCAAAATCATCTTCATTTTAATTATTGATACAATTCTGTCAATAATGCCTAATGCTATTTGTTTTACATTACTTATATAACAAGGTACATTTTTATGGTTCATTATAACCACATAGCATTCCATGGACACAAATAAGACAAGCACACCAGCAATAAACATAGAAGTATTGTTTATGATTGCTTTTAAGACTTGACTTTTCTTCTCTTGTTTTCGTTGTTTCTTATCAGGTGTCCTGTTCTCCAAAAGTTTTTTACCCAAAAGTGTTTCTTTTTCTCTATGTAATTTCATCTGCAGCACTTTTCTACAAGGACTACACAGCTTGTATGCTTTTTCCAGCTGGGACCTGAAAATGGAAATACCGTTTTAATTGCTATCCACACACAGCAGAATTTAAGCTATAATCAGTACAGAGTAAAAATAAATCCATTTCTTATCAAAAATGAGAGTAGAAAACATTTATAACTATGGTAAAGTATATTTTGAGAATAATTTAATTAGTGTAGATCTATATTCTTAACAAAAAGTAACCTTTAACTATATATAGGTCCATATTTATCTCTTCTCCAATATTCATCAAAATCGAATGATGAGTAGTTTAGGTCTAAAAGTGTAACAAACAAACTCACTTTGGGCATTCATAATAATTCCTACATACTCCAAGAAAGATCTCAAATTGATTTATGGGATATGCACCCCATATAGCAGGAATAATCAATTAAAAATTAAACCTAACATACCCCTGAGGGTACACCTACTACTAATTGGGAAACACCAGTCCTAACAAACAAGTTGATCCACTTAATGGAATTGATTTGTAGACAATATTAAATTGTGTCCTGAATGCGATTTGTGATAGGACTATGGTAATATGATTATATTATTGAGAAAATTTTAAAATTGGAGATCTTTAGATATGCTTCAGCCATATTGGTATGTAAAATATACAAATATATGTTTGCATACATAATAGGCTGTTTAAAAGTATGAAAAATCAAGTATCATTATTGGATGAATATTGGAAGCAATTTCACTATTCTAACAAAAAAAAGTAAATAAAGTTAAAATATTATTCAAAATCATGAAACAGAAAAGTATTTTTGATCAATTGTCACATTTTGAAAAACGTCTAGGATTGGCGGTGTCTAAAATAAAGTCAGCTGCTTGTAAACATGCTGTTGAAGTGACTTTATCTCTTACTGTTTGTTGTTTAAATAACAGCCGTGTGACTTTCTATGAGACAAGATATGATCTGCTAGAGAAATGTTTCTGTAGCATATTTGAAAACAGAATTTATAATTTTGTTTTTGACTGATAGTTATATGCAACAGAATCAGACAAATATCCACTTTTTATGGAGTCACTAATAAATAATGAATGAATACCTTCAAAAACTTGTCAAATAGACTATTGTATTTCATGTCTATATAACATTAATAGATAAGTATTCTTCAAATTAGGTAAGTAATAGACACTTACTTGTATGACTCCACTTCTTCATCAAATTTGTTTTCATTCATAGGTACAAAATTGGCAAGCTGTACCACTTTCAGCTGTTGGTTTATGTTACACATTTTGCATAGGCCATTTCTCGGAGGGCTTTTTTGGAATACTTTTGGAGATTTTATAGATTGATCCGAAGTATTCACCAATGTTTTGTTATAATCCCCGTCCTATGTTAAATTTAATAAAAAAAATAAGGGAACATTCGAATAGTATTGTATCAACAGAATAGATTGTGTTATTTATGCTTAAATAATTAACTGTTAATAAATTAATACATACCTTAGTAAACCCGTTGTACTGCTCGCATTTTGGACATGTCCAGCTATTGCGATTCACATACTTCAGCCAAAAATTTTGATTGCAAAACCAACAATTAACACGCCAAATTAGGATATATCTAAAACAAAAAATCATTTTTAATCGACATTCTCCAGGCGGGAAAGTGTCCTAGAAATAGTGAACACACTTACTGTAATTTGTAAAGTAATTTAATAAATAAGATGCTACATAAGACTGTAGTAATAGTAATGAGCACTAGTTCCATTTCTAAAGTAAACTTTAATTTTGGTAACATTTTATTTTATAAAATCATTTTCAATTCCCTAACCTAAAAAAAGCAAAACGCTGTCACTCACTATGTCGCTAAACCTCCCACAGATTAAGACTGTGGCATAGAGAAAAGTAATACACTGGAAAGACAGCCACAGTCTAAAAACGGGCTTCACATATTATTTTCCACTGTTTTTTATGTTAAATCTTCGGGTACTAAGTAGACGCCTGAGTGAATACATCCAGGTACAGCACATTGAAACATGTAGTAATATAATTATATCATTGCATAGTGGGGGCACTATTATTAGAGCACTATTTTCTGTGTAAATTTGGTTGTATAGCATTAAGCCGTTTTCGAGAATTGTCGAGTGTACGATCGTCATGCCAGTGTACACCATGAAAACAGTTGTTGGTTGCTTTCCAATTACAGCATTATAGCGCATTATGCGGCATAATGCTTAACGTTGAGTGTTCCAACTACAGCAACGCTTCGCACAATTGAGCACTCTCAAAAGTGATGCTTTCGTGTGATGCGTGCAATGGTACCAACTTAGAGACAGAAAATTAACAAGTGTTTTTTCTTTAAGTTGGCATTGATCGAAATGTTTTATTTATATGTTATCGTAAGTAATATTATTTATTGTTGAAAAATTATTAAAGCTTGCGTTTCATTAAATAGTTTTTTTTAAATAATCAAAGTTCATTCAAACTGTTAAAAAATAAATATAAGTATGGATGAAGGTACAAACATTGACTTTTTTTTCAACACTGAACTTAGCGCACTCTGCTGGTGCATTTGAAAACTAATTCACGTTCCAATTAAGCTTCAGCATAATTGGGCATTGTGCGGCACTGAGTCGCATTATGCTCTGTAATTGGAAAGCATACGTTATTTCCTAAACTAAAGGGTTTTTTTATTATTTCACTAATTAGGCACTAAGTTACAATCTTGAACTTAAGAGCCCTTTTACAAAATTGCGCCGCTCTAGTTTAGGTAAATATGACCGCGAGCGTGTCCGAGTCGCACGAGCGAGACATCGACGCGGCCGAAGTTCAGTATAGCGCGCTTTACCAAATTGATACTTTAATATGCAATTATTGATTATACAATAAATGCAAATATAAAATAAAGTTAATTTGAAGTGCTAAGATGGATCCCTACTGTAGCAACGAACGATTCTAGATAGGAATCCTGAGTGGAGCAAAGGATACAAGGATTAAGTTTTTTACTATTGTAAGAAAATAAATAATATATTTATAGTACCCATTGGTTGCGTTTTGGAAATGACAATAAAGATTAATTATGATTATTACTAATCATTGTAAGTTTAGATGTATGATTTGCATAACTTCTGTTTGTTCAAATTTTTTTTATTCACTAAGTAATTAAATGAAAAGTTTGTTCACTGTTATCGCTGAATGAAATCCCTTTTTCGAGTGGCAATGAGAAATAATATTTTATTTACTTGTATTTTTAGTATTGACTTTTTGAATGATGATTGATGTTTGGTAATAATCAAATATCAGTAAAACTGTACTAAGTGTAGTTTTGTCTTTGCCTTCGTAGTTCATTTAATAAAAAAGTTTTCGCACTCTGTATTTTCAATATATCTGTAAGAGTATTTGATAAAAAAATAATAAGCATGTTTTTTTTAGTCGTGTAATTTCCATTCATTTAAACAAAACCCATCAAAAGCATTTAACTTTCATAGGAACTCATCTCTTACACACCTAACTCATGAAATTTTTGCTGCGAGTTCTCGTGTGGTAATTTCAGGATAAATAATATGAAAACGGAGCTGGGAAAGTTCACACCTCCTCCATCACTAGCTGCTGTGAATCACATTCAATAAAATCTGCTATTCTCTATACAATTAATTACTCATCAGTGTTATCAAAGATTATCATCACTGATGCTATCATAACCGGAAGCAGTCTGGTAGTATAACGTATCACGTACAATGATTGTCTCTTTTTGAAACTGATGATTGATGTTTTGTTTTTCGTAAATTACAATGAAGGTTATATTATAGTTATCTATAATAATATATTATTCTTTGTGGATTATTACGGTGACAAAGAGCCACAATACATTTAATTTTAATAAAAGTATGACGATAATAAACAAAATACTTATAATAACAAACATCTAAAATTTCCTCGCTTATTGTCAATTCTATAAGTTCTTATTTCTGCTAAGGTGATATTGATATTTGACGGTCCAACACCCAGTCTAGTGTTTCCAAGTGCAAAATGTCCTGGTATCATTACACGTCCTCCATCAGCCATATACTCCTCCTGAAAACAGATTATCTAATTGACTACAATACTGCTTTTATCGACTATCTACGCATATAAACAGATATAGGCAATACTGGAAATACATTTCCAATCCAGACACAGATATGGTACATAAATCAGCAAGTTACTGTCAATTGAACTTATGGAGCAAAGAAGTCTAAATATAAAATATTAAAAATAAACTTTTTTGCTCTGGAAATGCATCCCATTAGTTTAAGTTTAAAACATAAAACCAAACTGCTAACATTGTAAAACATGTACCTAGTGTAGTAGTGAAATATCCATTAAGTCAGTATAAAACAAATAAAATATTTAAATTAGAGTTTGACGCTTCCTTTTGTTCCTCGGCTTCGATTTCCAATCCAACAGCATTTTTTTCCTATATAATTGAAATTATTATAATTTCAATTTCTCTTTTCATTGTCTACTTCCAATAACAACATGAAAAACTTACAGTTTCCGTTGCAATCGAATCCATTGAACTTATGGTCGGTATAGTATCAATATTTTCGGGGTTCCGAGTAAAATTTTGTTTCCATCTAAAATACATAGAACTGTGGATTTCTATTCTAAATATATTATTATGTTAGGCCAATATGTACTTTGGCGGCCCACGAGCTTATACTTGTTATACTTGATCGAAATGCAAAATTTTACCGCACTCTAGCTTTTTTTATAGACATAAGGATAGATTAACATACCCATTAAGTCAGTAAGTTAAAATCGTTGGCCATTAGAGTACTGTACCCTTGACTGATTACAATTTTATACCAATGATACTTGAAAAGTCCGGACAAATCACCATTTTTATACAATTAAAACACCCATTGACACCACAAAAATAAAAAACGAAATGTTATAAGCATATTCACCTTGCTTCACAAGCTTTCTTTATGGCTGCATCATTCTTTCGTTTTATTTTTTTGACACAATGGTAAGCAGGAATTCTACGCCCCATTGTAAAAGCTTATAACAAAAATATTAGTTGAAGCAACGATAATTAATAACTTAGTAGTAGAGTAACTAGAAACTTACATACAGTCAACGATTAAACTTTTGCGGTCGTAGTATATCCAGCCAGTTTTACGATGAATGCACTCGTAGCATCGCTCGGAACGCGTGGGGTACAAAGCGACACAGGTCCGACCTCCAAAGGCGCTGGCGCCGTACTGAAGGGCGTCTAGATTTGCACTACTATATATTGCATTTTACGGGTGATGTTCAGAGTCTTATAAAATAATAATTAATGAAATTATTATAAAATTATATACATATTTCAGTAGTTCAATAATTGTAGATTAGTTTTGTAACAGTTTTTGATAGTAATTCTATTTAATTCAATATCAAAATACGAGGTAAACCTGCGTAATTTTGTGGGGAAACTCACGGAGGTTAGATGTTCTTTTAATAATTAATTAGATGGAAAATCAAGATTCTAATACATTATGTTGCAACATAAACATATTTCTGGTGTCGTAGTAATTAATTTGATCTAATTTATTGAACATTATTGTGAGATTAAGGCGTTTTAACTTGTGCATATTATCGTTTTTTCCGTAAACTAGCTGCGGTAGAACGATCAGTACAAAAAAATGGAAATAGTATTTAAAAATAATCTACATTAATTTTCAATAGGAAGAATAAATCTACTGTTTACTTCTATTGGAAGTAGTCAAAATCTCTTCTAAGGGGGCAAACGAGGCGCTCTAAAATTACGATTTATTGCAAAAAATGTGAAAGGGCTCTTAATGTGGGGTACGCTAGCATGACGGACACTAAAAGGCTTTATTATTTTACCTCTCACTCTTAATAATTCATAGACATCCTGTATCGATGGTTCCACTCAACATTGTAGTGTAAGTACGGAACGAAACCTTGTCATGGTGACATTGACATATCAATGACATTGACTGACTGATGGTGTGAGTACAGAAGACCACAACACAACAATAATTAACAAACGAATATTGCTCTTATGGTTATTGTAATAAAAACTGCCGACCAATGAAATTGTGCCCTGAGTTCGATGCACCAACTTACTTACTGATGTAAAGGTTATGTTTATGTAAATTGCACGCTAATTTGTAAGAAAAATATTTAAGATACCATATTTTAATAAAGAATTTCAATATGTTGGATAGTAGCTCTTATTTGTATTTGTGTAATTTTGATGATCAAAGTATTCTCACAGGTATTTATTGAAGTTGTTGTGTTTACTTTAATTGTAGCATGCATGTTTAATTATTTCACAATGTAAATCGTATTGTACACGTACTAAAATAGGGATTTTTATAATTTCAGATCACCATCAAATCAATACATTATGGTCGGGAAATTGGACTATTGAAAATGTAGACCTATGTAAGGAACTTATATCATCAGGATTAGATTCTGAACTTCAAAAAATAATTAAAGGGCACGAGGATTCCTTAAAAGGTGGAGATAATGTACTCCATTTGGCTATCAACTCTATGTTGACCTTTTGCCATCAAAATTGGGACCCACATCCTCAAGAGCTCAATTTAGAAGAATATCTTCATATGTCTTGGCCTGAGAATATTGATGTTAAACAAAAACTTCAACGTGATTCAGAGCCCCTCTATGACAATATCTTATATCCAGAGTTGTTGTATTTGTCTAATCAAATATTTACAGCTCTATATTCAGTTGAACAAAATCTTGTAAGTAACTATATAAAATAGTAAAAATTATTTATATTTGTATGATATTGTGTTTTAAGAAGAACTGCAAATACATTGGTTACCTTAAAATCCAAAACTTTAACTCAATTGTTAGAGAGTTTTCAGAGATACATAAAACTGATCACTCAGTGTATAAGTTATTTTCTACAAATTAATGATAATATAATACTTGACAACATATGCATTCCGGAAACGATCAAGTTGACTTGTCAAGTCTTCATGATTGAGGAGAATATTGTTCATTTATCACATTTACTTGAAGCTGTAGACGGTCAATATTATCTTCAATCATGTAGACTTGACAAGTTGACTTGATTGTCACTAGGATGTATTACTGTTTTTTTGTTGTAGATCTCTCTATTTTTTTTGGCACGTCACGTGAACCAACATGTCCTGACTGTTATGTTAGCTGAATTCAGCTACACAGACAAAAAAATACCAGTCTATTTGATATTTTGGTTAATATTAAAAATTCCTCAAAAATATATTGCCAATTATCATACTAGTCACCCCCACCCTTACTTCACTTCTTTATAGGTAGACTTAATATATATATATACCCATGAACCCTTTGAAAAAGTATTACTGCTGTGGGAACTGTACTGTTATGCATACAGACACAGAATATGACTTTATATACTGATATTATAAAAATGCGAAACAATGACTGCCTACCTGTTACAATTCATGCTTAAACCCTTGGACTAATTTATATGAAGTTTGGTATATACAGGGTGGTCCAACTAGTGACGTCAAAAATTTTGTTTAGATTCATCGCACCTGGGGGTATCTGAAAATACCCTATGTATGTTTTATAAGTTATAATTTTTTTTGTGTATTTTTAATGATTTCTGCCAGCGAGGTTTCAAAAATTCATACCTTTTTTCGTAGTAGGTATTTGTAGTGTGTATATACCACACTGTATATATAAACACTCGGCGTCAAAAAAATCGCACCTCCGCGAAAATGACTTTCAAGCGTTATTAAAAACCCTAAATATGTACACAAAACCCCGACCAATATTGGTGTCATTTGAAATCCCATTAATTAAACTTAAAAAAAAATTTTTTTATGAAAAGTGCATAAAACAATAAAGTTAACCAAACAATAAAAATCCTTACTTAAAAACAGATTAAATACACAAAAAAAAAATGTACAAAAAGGTTCTTAAAACATACCTTAAACCTAGTGTTACCCCCCCTTGCTCAGATGACGGCTTCCATACGCCCTCTCTAGGATCTTTCTAAGTTTAGCTCTTTAGGAGCTCTTCTTGAGGGAAGCTGGCCCATTCCTTAATAACGGCCTCTTCGAGCTCCTGGAGAGTCGTGAGAGCGCGATCACGAGACCGAACCTTGCGTTTCAAATGGTTCCAGAGGTGCTCTATCGGGTTCAGGTCTGGACTTCTCGCTGGCCACTGCATTACAGAGATTTTAATCTCCTGAAGGTAGTCGCGCACAATTAATGCAGTGTGCGCGAGCGTTATCGTGCATTAATGTGAACCCCTCGCCAACAAAACCGGCAAAGAGGACCACATGCTCTTCCAGGATATCTGTGACGTGTCGGTGAGCAGTAAGCGAGCGACCCTTGCCCGCGAGCACCTTCAGTCTGGGAGACGTTTACAAGGTTTTGCCGTCGGCCGACATGCCGCCCCAAAACATACAGGATTCCACCGTCTCCTGGATGCAGGCTTGGGCGAAACGTCCCCACTGTCTTCTGTACACTCTTCTGCGTCTATAGTTGCAGAAAAGGCACACTTTCGTCTCGTCTGAGAAGAGAGACGCTCTCCATTGGTCAAGGGTCCTATTGACGTGGTCGAGAGCAAACTGCAAGCGGGCTCGCCGTTCTCTGCGGTCAATTATGGACCTGTAGCAGCTCTATGAGCCGCTATCTTCTTCTCCTCCAGTCTTCGTCTAACTGTAGAAATGCTCACGATTGTTCTGCGAGCTGCCTGGAGCTGCTGTTGCAACTCAAGATTTCTCAGAGATGTTGATACGATGAATCGTCTACCAGACCCATGCCTCCGGACATGGTCACCGGTCTCCAGGAACCGCTGGTATACTCTTCGATTCGAAGAACGGCTCAAGTTCAGTTGCCGAGCGACATTACACTGCCACACCCCTGGTTGCACTAGTGCAATCATTTGGGCGGCTTTATCAGCAATGGTATGGTGGCTTTTATACCCACAAAAGGTAGCTCAACTAGTGGCCCTTTTGAGGAACAAAATTGGCATTATTTAAGTCACATTTCTATCAAGCTTTTTTTTAATGAAAAGAAATGGGTTTTTTTTAAAGTTTATTTAATGGGCTTTCAAATAACACCAATATTGGTGGGGGTACATGAGCAAGTTAAGTGTTTACTAACGCTTGAAAGTTATTTTTGCTGAGGTGCGATTTTTTCGATGCCAAGTGAAATTTGAGTGCCGTAAAGGACCTAGGATTGTTTTATCCCAAAAATCCACTTTTTGGGCTGAAAAGGGGCTGGAAGTTTGTATGGAAAATCTATTTTTCATGCAGATGAAGTCGTGGGCACTAGTGTTTAGTTAAGATATATCATTATTGCTAGAAAACTAAATACCATGTAATATTATATATTGTTACAGCTTCATTTGTGGTGGTGTTTTCGAAGTAAAATCTTACACCAAAGAGTGTTAGAAGATAATAGTGCAACACTTTATTCGGAACTCGAGTTGATAATGGCAAAGCTATCAAATGAGTTTCAGAATATGCAAGATAAGCCTAGACTTCAAATATTATTGTGTCTTGAGATAGCTCAGACTTTCCTTATCTATGGCAGAGTTCAAAAAGCTGAGGAATATTTAATTAAAGCCAGAGAAATAGCTGGTTTAAAATTACAACTCACAGGTAGGATAATAAAAGATGTACTTCTCTCGAAAACTACTATGTTAATAATGAAGTACTGTAGTGTGGGAAATGCTTTATTGTTTGATACTGTTACAGGTCTGTTAGGAAAACGCACAAAGTTCCAACAGCAATCTCTGCCACAGTTGGCATTATCTACAGAGCTGGATGAAAGTATAGAGCGACCTACAGCTGAAGAGAGCCACGGCAACGCTATCCTGCCTACTGATATTGAACTCCAAGATGATGTACGACTGAACAAGATCCATTACTCGGAGAAGATCAGTCAATCTGAGCTACCAAGTTTGGAACAGACCCTATGTCTTCTGACAGTGTAATTTGCTTTTTCTTTTTTTTTTAAATTTAATTTAGAATGACGTCATAAATAATTTCGTCACTAATTTACTAATCACCAATAATGATTCCATGCAAGTTATCTTTTTTGTTACATTATATTCATGATAGTAGGGACTGTAATACATGCAGTTCTGTATCCACAGACAATATCTTCAAAAATCGCAGCCGAAAGACGATTTGATGTTAGAAGAGCTACAGCCTTACATAGAAGCGATACTGACCCAGAAGAATGGGCCGTGGTCGACTCGTGTGACCGCTCTTTTGATCCGGTGTCGACTCGAAGCAACACACAAGCGTACAGTTGAGCGTGCGATGCTTCAATGCGAGGCCATTGTTAACGACAAAACGGGCGTTTCACCTACTGACAGGTCTGTATTAGGATTTAAATTAGCCACCTTTACATAAAACATATGAGCACAATCACAGTATCTATACATATAATAAAATGGTAGGAAAGTCAAAACTGTACATTGAATATTTTTTTAAAAGAATACTTGGGGTTTGATCTATAATCGATACCGAAGCCTAAAATATAGTTTTTTAGAGACTGCTGTTTTGTGCGGTTCCGCGAATGCGCAATCAGTAGGTGTAAATCACGTCATGAAAGTTTCAATTGTGTTTCAAGTACAATTTCACATTCTGCGCGAGCCATAAAGCTTACAGAGCTTGAATTTTGATTGCGGATCAAAGTATATTTTATAGCTATTGTACTTGTGAAGACTGTATAAGCCGTATCTGAGTGAGCAAACAGACTGAACAATCCCATCGCCTCCGGGGTCCCATTAAAGATTTTTGATTCCCTTTTTTAAAGAGACGATTTGGACGATGGACAAACACCAAACTTACACACCCGTGGGAGGCTAAAATATTTAAATAAGATAAACAGTGCAATAATGAGAAACATTTCTGCACTGTTATGGTTCTAAGCAAAGAATAAATCCTTTGTGATCTGTTTTGTAGTGATTAATGATAGCATTACTCCATAGTTGAAAGAAAACTTAATGGCGGTGGTGAAGTTAGCTCAAATAGCTGTGCAGTAATTTGTTACTAAATTGAAACCTGCGCATTGTTGTGGTCGTTGCTGACTTCACGTTCCCCATAAAGTTTGATTCGTACTATAACAAAGCAATATATTCCGCCATTAGGTTGTCGTACCTATGGGCTACGGGTTTGCCGCCAGCTTGGACGTGGCGGCAGCAGTTAGGGGACTTGTACCTCAGCATGGGGCTGGTGAAGGCAGCGCTGGAAGAATACCAGCGGCTGCAACTGTGGGAGGACATTATAGTGTGCTATACGATGCTGCAGCTGCGACACAAGGTCTGTACTGCGACTGATTGTTTTATTAAGCTGGATATCATTGTAGGGCTGATATAGGCAGCGGTGGAAAAACACCAGCGTTGACAACTGTGGGAGGACATTATAGTGTGCTATACGATGCTGCAGCTGCGACACAAGGTCTGTACTGCGACTGATTATTGTATTAACAGCTGGATATCATTGTAGGGCTGTTATAGGCAGCGCTGGAAAAACACCAGCTGTGACAGCTGTGGGAGGACATTATAGCGTGCTATACGATGCTGCAGCTGCGACGCAAGGTCTGTAATGCGGTTGATTGTTGTACTAACAACCGGATATCGTTGTAGGACTGTTATAAGCAGTGCTGGAAAAACACCAGCTGTGGCAGGACATTATAGTGTGCTATACGATGCTGCAGCTGGGACACAAGGTCTGTACAGCGACTGATTGTTGTATCAACAACTGGATATCATTATGGGGCTGATATAGGTGGCTGCAGCTGTGTTCAGTTTTTTCAAGTTCAAAGAATCATTCCACAATAAGGCGCTTAGATAGTATATTTGATCTTCAATTAAAATACCTTATTAGAAAATTATCCATTTAATTATTTTATGATTATGGCTGTATCTCATTACGTGGCGATTCTGCCAATGTCTGGGATAAGACGATAAACTAAGACTTACTTAATCTTCTCCCTCTGTCTTCAGGCTGCTGAAATAATACAGCAACAGATCGACATAAAGCCCACAGTCAAGCTGTACTGCCTCCTAGGGGACGCCACAGGTATGGCTCATTTTATGTACTTTCCACTCACACATTTACTTATTTTCACTCTAAACATTGTACGGGATTTTCACCCTTTTATATAACCATACAAAACATAATCCAGTCAAACTTAAATAAATAAATAAATATTTTCAACACTCACACTAATTAGTCTAGCCCCAAAGTTAGCACTGTAGGCTTGTGTTATGGGATGCTAGGTTAACGGATAGTATTATACTGTACATATATAAGTATATTTATATAGAAATAAATATTTAACATCCATAACTGGAGTACAAATGTTCGTATTCATCACACTAACATCCGCGCCCACCGGGTTTCGAACCCGAGACTTCTCGATTCGGCGACACCATGAAACCCGGCGTACAAACCGAAAACAGAGGTTGTCAAGAAATAAAGAAGAAATACAAGAATTAAGAGAGTATTTCCTAATGGCAGTGAACACAGTATGCAAGTCTTAATATCAATAGACAATAAGTAAAAAATACTGCAAAGACATAATTTTACATTTTCCTGAGGCCAGAAAACCATAGAATAATACTAATTTTGTTCGTATTGCATTTTAATATTGCAGATGATATAACCTGTTACGAGAAAGCATGGGAGTTCTCCAATCACAAAAGCAGCCGCGCCCAAAGGCACTGGGGGAACTTTTTATTCGACCACAAGAAGTACGAGGAGTGCATACCACATTACGAGCAGTCGGTTGAAATCAACTCTATACAGGAGAGCGTATGGCTGAGACTGGGGTGAATATCATAAGTGTTCTTGTAGATTTTTCATGGTTTAAATCTACATTTTATAGTAAACTAGTTGACCTAGCGAATTTCGTATCGCCGTAAAAATAGGGGCTGGTGGTAGTAGGGTGAAAATTTTGGGTTGTTTATGTATTTTAATGCAACACTATAAAAAATTGTGTTTAAATAAAAAAATTGGGTTGGACAACCCTTCATACTTCACTTACGATACGATCACTTAGGGACATGAAAAATAGATAGTAGCTGATTCTCAGACCTACTGAATATGAATAAAATTTCATAAAAATCTGTGACACGAGAGTTTGATATATAAAATTTATAGTGTTAAATTGAAGTGATTCATTAATTGCTTGCGGGGTTGGCAGTGCATTAATCTTGTGTCTGCTCGGTCATTTTTAAGATCGCTCCATACTAGTGTATTTCGGTCAGTAAACCAATTCATTCTATTAGTTCTATTAGCTCTATTCGGTCTTCGCTCTCAGTTAGTAATCCCATAGATCACACAGCGCAAAAGTATATACATAGTCCACTATTGCTATATGATTCTATTGAACTTAAATGTACCATCCGTCAGCACCCATTTAAGAGAGGTAGGGCATAGCATATTTCTGCTCCAAATAGAGCGCCCTTCTCGTAAAGTGACCTCCACCTTACAGAAGACCAAAGTAAAATAACTACCTTGTTTTAAACTTTCATGGTCACAAACATTATAGCTATTAAAGGGATTGTTACCATGTACCTTGTTTTTTATGGGTCTCCGATATTTCGGCACTGTTGCAAGTGCCATGATCACGGAGTAACTGAAGTAATTGCGGGCAGATGTTATTGGCAGACATATCGGTCTACCCTCTTACGTTGTCTATTCTTTCATTCGATACCCCTACCACTGGTCACATTCTCACTTTTTACTCGCACTTGTTCTTACTTAGTATAGCGTGTCGTGTGTAGACCGGGTCTCCACACTCTTATCCTACGGGTGCGGTGTCTGCCTAATGCTTAGCTAACTTTGTTTCTTGTAGTTGTTGGTATGGTTTTTACACCAAACGTCCCAATTAAGCGCCATTTTTCCGCAGATTCGCTGCTTTGAAAGCGGAGAAGTGGGAGACTTCTGCGAAAGCTTACCGCCGTTATACTTACCTACAGCCTAATTCTTTCGAGGCGTGGAACAACCTCGCAAAGGTGTACGTTAATCAAGGAGACAAGAACAGGGCCTACAGGGCGCTTATGGAGTCTTTACGATTCAACTACGATAACTGGAAGGTAAATAGAATAGTTTTTAACACGCTTTTATTAGTTTCACCTGTAGAGTGAGCGGAAAGAGAATGGGATTTCGATTGGAGGGCGCTGTAGTGCTTTTCTACCGTATTTGTAAGGTTTTACCCCTTTTAGACATGATTAAATACAAAAAACCGCAAGAAATCATAACAACAAACAAATCCGTGTCAATACAAAACTTTGACGTTTTATAGATTGCTGGGTTTGATTGCCAAATAAAAATCTTAATGTTGGTTCCGTTTTTCGCCACGCCCATTCTGTTTCCGCACAGACTCTATGTTTGTTTGTATGTATGTAACTGACTCGTTTGGACTCGATTTTGCCCCGCAGTTATAGCAGAAGGTGATAATAGGGACACTAATAGGCTGATAACGATTATAAGGTCAAAATTCACCAGGCGATTTTGACCCACAGTTATGGGAGAAGGTGATAAGGGGGGCATTAAAAGGCTGATAATGACTATAAGGTCGAAATTCACTTGGCGAGTATGTCCCCGCAATTATGGGAGAACGCGATTTACAATAATAGGCTGATAATGACTATAAGGTCGAAGTTCACTTGACGATTTTATCCCCGTAGCTATGGGAAAACGTGGTATTAGGGACATTAATAGGCTGATAATGACTATAAGGTCGAAATTCACTTGGCGATTTTATCCCCGCAGCTATGGGAAACGTGATATTAGGGACATTAAGAGGCTGATAATGATTATAAGGTCGAAATTCACTTGACGATTCTGCCTCTGCAGTTATGGGAGAACGTAATATTCGGAACATTAATAGGTTGATAATGATTATAAGGTCGAAATTCACTTGATGATTTTGTCCCCGCAGTTGTGGTAGAACGTGATATTATGGACATTAATAGGTTGATAATGACTATGAGGTTGAAATTCACCTGGCGATTTTGTCCCCGCAGTTATGGGAGAACGTGGTAATGGGGACATTAATATGCTGATAACGATTATAAGGTCAAAATTCACCATGCGATTTTGATCCGCAGTTATGGGAGGTGATAATGGGGATATTAAAAGGCTGATAATGACTATAAGCTCGAAATTCACTTGGCGATTTTGTCCCCGCATTTATTGGAAAACATAATATTAGGGACATTAATAGGCTGATAATGACTATAAGGGTGAAATTCACTTGGCGATTATGTCCCCGCAGTTATGGGAGAACGTGATATTAGGGACATTAATAGGTTGACAATGATTAAGGTCGAAATTCACCTGGCGATTTTGTCTCCGCAGCTATGGGAGAACGTGATAACCGTAAGCATGGACACGGGGCACTTCGACGACGTGATCCGCGGCTGCCACCGAATTATCGACCTTCGGAACAAATTCGACGATGTGGAGCTGTTGTCGTTACTAGTGAGGGCCGTCGTGCAAGACCATAAAGACGCAGAGGGAAATAGTACAGCAAGGTACCAATGGACAAGAAATCTGCAAAATTTGGCCACTAGGGGCGCTGTAATCGCTTGACCCAAACCCAAAACTTCTACCAAATACATACCTATGATATTCATTTTTAAGCTTTTTATTAAACAAATTACAAAGGCCTCGTTGTGCAGTTCCTGGTTGTTGTGAGAATAGTGCATACTTAACGACTAAAATATAATTTAATATGTTGCTTTAAAAGGGTGAGTAAAACTGAGCTGATTTTTACATCATGGTATGTATCTGGGGCAGGTATCTGGATGCATCTGGATGTCTTCATTTTGGTTAGAAAAAACTGCACCAAAATTTAAATTGGCGGGGTCATATGCCTCAAGCCTGTAAAAAACCCAATGTTATACTTCCCATTTTAGCCAGAGGTAACCTAACTCTATGAGATGTCTAACTGATGCAAAAATAAAATAGATTTGACTAATGAGCCTGCTAAAAGTTACGGAGATCCATGAACTATTAAAATAATCATGGAAAATGCATCTATGTACCGATAATGAGCATTATATGAATAGAAAGATAACATTTCTACTAGATTAGCTTTTCTGCCTTGCCTCTCCTTTTCAACTCTGTTTTCAGATGTATTACAGACCATGATGAATACATTTTCACCAATTATTTAATATTTTTAACAAAAAAAAAACAAGTTAAAAATTTGACAGCTGCAATATTCAGCTGTGGTTAGGGTCAAGCGTTTGCAAGGCCATCTATGTCGAGCTTTGCGTGTACTTCTCCATTTATACCACATTTCTTGTGAAAAGTAAAAATGTTGTTGTTAAAAACTGCGTCTGTTTGCATTTAACACTTCCACGTTTAAACTACTGAATCGATTTTGAAGAATTTTGGTATAAATAAAAAGTGGACTTAGGATCTTAGCTACTGTGTCGTGCCTTATTTGAAATGAAACGTTTATTAAACTCGGTTAGAAACTTTAAAATTGTTTCTTTTTTGTTGTTTTGAAAATACTTAATTTTCATTTACAGACTCAGAAAACGAGTGCTGGAGTTATTTGGTAGAATCACTGCGTTGACGCAGAACAAACCAGAAATATGGCAGCTGTATTCAGATTTAAGTCCGACGCCGTTATTGAAAGCTCAACGCCTTCTGAAGGCTTACCGTGGCTATACGCAGGTAAATATAATATAGAATAAAGTCATGCAAATATGCAATATTTTTCTTAGCTATTAATATAGTTTGTCCCTACCTAAGTAATTTTTTTAATAGCGTTTTTGGTACTGTAAAGGACATGCCCATACCCCGTACCACATTGCGTCATAGATATATTAACACCAAAAGTAATGTTTTATTTATGTGTATTAATATTATTTTTGGTGTTTTTCGTACTGACTTTTAACCATTTTTTTAACCACATTTAAAAAAATCATATAAATGATGCTAAATTACATATCCGTATATCAAAACTTCATTCCCGAAATCTTGCATGTAATGTTCCGATAACAGTTATCTTTTATTTCCGAGGTTTAACAATGAACATAACAATCTTTGTACGCCTTATTAGCTTTAGCCGTTGTAAAATCATATGAGATTTTAGTGTAGAAAATATAATATGTAATTCTTTTTCATCATTTTATTTTATCTCACTATTTCATAAAGTAAACATTGCGTATTTTCGAAATTCAAAACATACATTCATTGCGATTCGGAACGCTTAATTACGGAACTGTCAGTGTCAATGTCAATTTCATTTTTGTTGTGATGATGTTTGTTTTGTTTGTTTGATCAATGTTACTCTTGCTGCGTTTGAGTCGATCTGTAGTTTTATTGTTTAATTAAATCACCACGCCTATAATATGTATTGACAGTGATGAGATAGGGACTCTTTTCTGTGGATTATCGAGATATTGACTTTGAAGTGCGTGTCGAGACAGTGACTCTGTAGACGCCAGCCGGGGTTGAAATTATAATAACACTGCTAACCTAATTATAATTTAACTAGTGATACTATCATATCACGGCTCTTACAATGTACCATCTACAATAATCACACTGATTCAAAATCACTAAAAATGTTATCATCAGGTATTTTCCAACTTATGTAATTTTTTCTAGAATGTGGTTAAACATTGACAAAATATTTTTGATAGTAAAAAGTTAGATAAAAACTAAACTCTTGAGAGTAAATTTGATTTGATGCAAGTTGGTACGGATCTCATTGTCCTTTTGATGATTGGTAAGTACTAAGGACATCAAATGTAATCAGGACTAAAGGGTTTGCGTGCCTTCCAAAGTACGGAGGAACTCGTGATAATAAATTTTTGATACCCATCAGATGATCAATCATTGCAAAATTTGCATAACTTCCACTATCATGCACCACTTGCACCTAGTCCAGTCAACAAGTTCAAAAACGTGAAAAATAGAGATAAAGCTCCTAAAAATATGAGCAATAGCTCATTGGATTCGGAACGACCTCTAGAAAAATGAGTTTTGAGGATTTTACTGCACGTAAAAAATTGCAATTGTTATTAACAAAATAAGATGAAAAAAAAGAGGTATTTACGTTTTTGTTAATAACTCATAAACTATTAATATTTACGATATTTGGAAAAAAGGTCCTTAAAGAGGAGGAAATTTCCGAAAAAAAAGTCCCAGCTCCCGGAACTCTACCTCTATTATTTATAATTTTAATTTAACGCTGAAAATAGGGCTCCGCGCAGACATTACGGCATGGGCGCACTGCCGTTAAAGACAGTTTCTTACATAAAATTATTTTTTTATAGTAACAAATATGAATTTAAAAATTTAAATAAATTATGGTGTCATCCAGATACTTGAAAGAATATATTCCCGTTGGAAAAAATTTTTTAAATTAATTTTTCATAAAGTTATGCAATTGATAATTATGAATTTTTTTCCTATCTCCGTTTTCATAAATGACGACATAAAAATTTAAATAATAAACCTATAAATTTTTGGCTCTGTGGAGCTCTTCTAATATATATACTTAACAAGATCCCGCGATAAAAGTTTATTAAAGTTAATTATTTTGTTTATAACAATTTTTTAAAGTTAACAAAAAATGAAAAGTCTAACAAAGGTTATTAAAAATTTTTTTTTAAACAAATGTTATATTATTGCTGCTTTCTTATCCAACAATGGCATTAAGTAACATCGGAAAAATTTTTTTTACATCGTTTGTTAAGAAATTGTTTATAAACAAATAGACAAGTTTAATATTTAAAGATTTTTTTTTACCATTATGTTGTCTTGGCAAAATAATGATTTTTAAAAAAAAAATTTTTCTTAAATATTTTTTTTATTGTTTATAATCGTTTTTTTATATTTCGATTGTTTAAATAATTAGTTAAGGAATGATTTTCTCTTTAAAAATCATAATTGGCATTTCTTCATAGGTAAATAGAAAAAAAAAATTTTTTTATCAATAATTTCATTGTTTGTTAACTTAACAATTTGTTATAAACAAATTCTAACTACCGCTATATTTTTTTTCTAGAGCTAAAAAAAATAGCAAAAACAGCCATATATATCAAAATACTAAAAAAAATATTTTTCTATTTTTTATAACGCTTTTAAATATTACACGATACCAAAGTTGCACCGGACACTTGATTTGTCAAGTAAAAAATTAATATAACTTATAAACTATTCGAGATACGATAATGGACATTCAGGTCGTTTTTATAAAGCATTAATTAATCTTCAAAATAAGCTAAAAACCAAGTTTGTAACTATTGTTTATCAGCTAATACATGCATTTGTTTATAAAATTTTGAGATTGCTTTAACTTTTTCGTATCTCTTATGACTTACAACTTAATAAATAATTAAAATACAGCTATAAACCTTAAAACAATTTTGTTTAGCGATACATTATCTCCCAAATTATTAACTCGATGTTGAATTGAACACGAGTTAAATAAATATTAATTAAATCACGTATATTGTTTAAACAATTAGAGATGGAGGTACGATTAATTGATAATTTGGAAGATAATGTATCGCTAAACAAAATTGTTTTAAGGTTTATAGCTGTATTTTAATTATTTATTAAGTGGTAAGTCATAAGAGATACGAAAAAGTTAAACATAATGGTAAAAAAAAATTCTTTAAATATTAAACTTGTCTATTTGTTTATAAACAATTTCTTAACAAATAATGTAAAAAAAATTTTTCCGATGTTACTTAATGCCATTGTTGGATAAGAAAGCAGCAATAATATAACATTTGTTTAAAAAAAAATTTTTAATAACATTTGTTAGACTTTTCATTTTTTGTTAACTTTAAAAAATTGTTATAAACAAAATAATTAACTTTAATAAACTTTTATCGCGGGATCTTGTTAAGTATATATATAAGAAGAGCTCCACAGAGCCAAAAATTTATAGGTTTATTATTTAAATTTTTATGTCGTCATTTATGAAAACGGAGATAGGAAAAAAATTCGTTAATTAAAATTGCAGAACTTTATGAAAAATTAATTTAAAAAAATTTTTCCAACGGGAATATATTCTTTCAAGTATCTGGATGACACCATAATTTATTTAAATTTTTAAATTCATATTTGTTACTATAAAAAAATAATTTTATGTAAGAAACTGTCTTTAACGGCAGTGCGCCTATGCCGTAATGTCCTCCTCTTTAAGGACCTTTTTTCCAAATATCGTAAATATTAATAGTTTATGAGTTATTAACAAAAACGTAAATACCTCTTTTTTTTCATCTTATTTTGTTAATAACAATTGCAATTTTTTACGTGCAGTAAAATCCTCAAAACTCATTTTTCTAGAGGTCGTTCCGAATCCAATGAGCTATTGCTCATATTTTTAGGAGCTTTATCTCTATTTTTCACGTTTTTGAACTTGTTGACTGGACTAACCATCGAACTCAGGATTTTCATTGTAAACGAAAGAAATAAAAACGGAAAATAATATAAATAAAAACCAGCTCTGCGGTGACATAAATTGATAGAATGACATTTTATTTTCTTTTAAAAATATATTAACATCAACGAGTAATTGATAGTATACTTTGACCTCCTTTGTCGGTAACACAGCTCCCCCCGTGTGGCAACACTGCTATCAGTACCGACAAAGAAGGACAAAGTTCAACAATATTAAAATAAAAATTAAATGAATGAACTAATTACAATGGGAATGGTAAAATTACATGACCGGCAGACGAACAATTTTTCTAACTGGTCTTTTGAAAACTCCAGCTTTTGTGGACACTTCCACTACGCGCACTGTACCATCTGGCCCAGGGTGTAGTGCAGTAATTCGACCTATTGGCCAAAGGCCCCTCGGTAAGGTCTCGTCTACGATAAGGACTACGTCTCCATTTTGAAGGGGTACTTGCGGGGAATTTGTGTGTGGTTGCCGTCTAGGAATTATTGTGGGCAAATATTCTCTTTAACCCATCGGTTCCAAAAGTGGTCGGCTAAACGAATTGCCTTTCTCCACTCTGTTCTGCCAGATGAGTCGCTATCGGAAAGGTCTGCAGTATTAGGTAATTTTTGCGTCGAGGGAGTGCCTAGTAAAAAGTGAAATGGCGTTAATGCAATTGGTTCATCTGGATCCATGGGAACATGCACGAGTGGTCGGGAGTTGATAATGGCCTCAACTTCTGCGAAAATAGTCTGCAGCGTTTCTTCTTTCGGGGCTCTCTGCTTTAATGTTACGCTCAGCGCTGTTTTGACACTGCGAACCATTCGCTCCCAGCAGCCACCCATGAAAGGAGAAGCGGGTGGAATAAACTCCCATGTGATGCGGTTGTTTGCTGCAAATTGTTCAATTTCGGAGCAAAAGAAGCTTTTCAATTGTTTGTTTGCCCCGACGAAACATGTGCCGTTGTCACTGAGAATTTTAGAAGGACAACCCCGTCGAGCGATGAAGCGCCTCAAAGATAAAATTGCAGAGTCCGCGGAAAGTGATGCCACAATTTCTAGGTGTAGGGCACGGGACGTCATGCATGTGTAGATTACACCATACCTTTTTTCACGTCGCCGACCAATCGCCACTTCTAATGGGCCAAAGTAGTCCAGTCCAACAAACATAAATGGTCGGCTGTGGTGCGCTAAACGTACAGCGGGCAAATTTCCCAGTCTTGGAATCTCGCTTTTGGCTTTTTTGTTTCTGCAGTATTGACACAGCG